CATGTAGTTCGTCGTTCCTTGGTGTTCTTCCTATTTTTTCGGTCGGTACGTTCGAAGGGGATACGCTTGCTCACAGGGCTCCCGCTGCACCTCTCTTACCTAACCCCACCCGTAACCCACCACCTCCCACCCTTGCCCAGCAACCCACCCGCGTCCCGCAGCCCCCTACCGCACACCAGCCCACTCAAAACACCCACTCCAACCCAAACCGCAACACCCACACTCCCACCCAAACTCAAAATAGCCCTTCCACTATACCTCTAACCCCCCAGCCCCAATCTCAAAACATTCCATTTACTCCGTCCTCCAGTCCCGAATCGTCCTCAATCCCAACCCCACCCCACCACCGATCCGTCACCCAATGCAAACTCGTTCCCGAAGTGGTATTTTCAAACCAAAACTCTACTCCACTCTTTCTCCCTCACACCCACCTGACACTGAGCCTGGTACATATAAGGAGGCCTTCCAAAACAGTTATTGGTGTCAAGCTATGGATGAAGAATACTCTGCCTTGATGAATCAACACACGTGGACTCTGTCTCTTCTCTATATATACTCTAGCGTATTTCAACATGGTATCGGAGCCACCGCTCTTGGTGACCTAAAAAAAAAGTTCTTTGCTCCCACCGCCGCCGCCGGTAATTCCGGCGACGGCGGCTCCACCCTATTCACCTCTATTTTCTTTTCCTTCTTTATCCTCAAATCAACTTCTTCATTCAAATGAAAAAAAAAAAGAAAAAAAAACTCTGTTGAAATCACACAAAAAACTATCAAAGGAGGAACTTCTCTCTTGTCATCTTCATGGTTCTTCAAAAAAAAAATCCCAACTCCTCACAAAATTTCTCAGATCATCCTATCTTCTCAAAAAAAAAAAAGGAAAAAAAAATGATTGTTGTTTCTCTCCAATTCACCATATCAAAATCTCATACCCAATTTTTTTTCCATCACCAATTCTTAACCTATTTTTTCTCTTTAAAATCACTCATTCTAATCATCAACCTCCCTTTTCTTTCTCTTCTATTGAACCATTAAAAATCCAAAGTAAATCATCACAAAAACAAAGCCAAGAGGGGAAGTAGTGAGAGAGAAAATAAGACCTCTACAACTCACCCCTTCAAGAAGGAAATAGGGCATTGCCCGGATCCTAGAAAAAGACAAAAAATGTCAAGGATCTTC